GCGATTCTCTTGAACATTTTAGACACTGTTCCCTTGAGTAGCAGGCATTCTTAAACTTATTCATATTCATTAGAAGGAGCAGTTTTTTGTGTTTTTATTTCTACCTGATCTTGCTAAGCATTCTTTTTCGTATTTTTTACAGAGCTACCTTTTCCTATGTGTTTATTAAGCAGCATCAGATAACCTTCAAAATGTGAATGAATTTCTTTGGGTCTTATCTGCAGTACAGGGTACGCTAATAAACAGTCTTAAAATTTGCAAATGGGTTTCTAAGACAGTTCAGAAAAAGATTTTAACGCTTCTGCAAACGATTTATATTGAAACCTAGGAATGCGCGCTTTTACAGTCAGTAACTAATCGAGACAATTGTAAAACTAAAAAAATTAGATCAAAAATTAAAACACGAAAGAATCAAAATGCAGAAAATGATAAGAAATAACTGTTGTTTACAAATGCTCATCTGTGACTAAGAAAAATGTTGTATTGGAGCGTAAAATTGAACACTCATTTGTTATAAATGAAAGTTTATAGCTAATTTGAGCAGAAATACCCCAAACCTACATAAACCATCTCTTATTTACTGAAAGAATGTTGTTGTTTCTGCTTAATATTGTATATAAATGCTTTTATTCACATTTTGTATCCAACTTTATGTGGAATAGACGATGATGTACAACTAGGAGATCTAGCTCATGCAGAATATAGTATGGAATGCAAAGAGTTTTCTTTCAAGATAGCTCTCAAATGTATTTACCGGCATCTATCTGCATATGCTTAGTTAGGCGTCACATTTATTCGCCGATCGCCAGACAATATAAGACTTCTTTTGCGAATTTTTACTGAACGGTGACTGTGAGCTACCGGATAGTGCTCATATTTTATCGCTTGTACTATGTTCTAAGCGGTTACACACGTTTTAACTACGCTTTTTTTTGTCGTTATTTTTTTCAAAACATTTATTTGAAATTTTATCAGCCAAATTCTTTCTGTTAGAATTTATAGTTCTGTCTAAAAACCTACCAAGATGAGGCAGATTATTGATTACTGAAACCTGGATGCAGACATTCCGACTTTCATTCGCTGACTTACGATTAAACAATTCTGCAAAATTTATCTGATTCAAAAAGGCTATCAAATTTGAACAGTATTTATTTTGATACTCACAATTTTTTGCTAACGTACTTTTATGAAAACATTATTCAAACAAATACAGAAATACTTTTATTTCTATTTCTTTTTATAAAAAAACAAAGAAATAGAAATTTTTTAATTTTAATTTTTGAGGTTCTTAAGCGTACTAAAAAAAAAGCAAAAACTTGTTAAATTTGCATTAAACGAATCAAAACTTTCATATAGTTTACAATAAAGTGATTTTAAGAAGCTTAAATGATAAAGATATGAAAGCGGTTTATACCTTCAACCTTCTTCACTACAGTGGCGTTGACAGAGGTGATTTCAAAAAAATTTTCTTTTTCGCACATCTCGTTTAGAGCAGTCTAAAAAACAATTTTTTAAAAAGCTTGAAAATTTTTTCGTTATTTACATAACTCTTTTTATTAAAATGTCTACTGAACAAATGATGACAATAATATTGCAGTATAAAGTAACTGTAATGCCAAGTTTTTTAGCTGTGAGGTAATTGTTCTAATTAAAAAAGCAGCATAGAAAAAGCTAAAAATGTATGCAAAAGTAGTGTCTCTTAAAAGAATCAATGTTGCTGCAAAAAAGAACTGTCTAAATAACTTTCAAACCGAAAAACTGAACAGCTTTGCAAGTAGAGATTCTTAAGAATGACATCTAAAAAATTCTCTATTTTTTAATACTGGTATTTTTCTGACTGATTTTTCCTTATTTATACTCTACTGTTTTACACTGAAACCAATTTTTTTAGTTGTTGCGGATACAGTAAACTAGCATTTTTTTTTTTT